TATATATATATATATATATATATATATATATATATATATATATATATATATATATATATATATATATATATACAGTGGACCCCCGGTTAACGATATTTTTTTCATTCCAGAAGTATGTTCAGGTGCCAGTACTGACCGAATTTGTTCCCATAAGGAATATTGTGAAGTAGATTAGTCCATTTCAGACCCCCAAACATACACGTACAAACGCACTTACATAAATACACTTACATAATTGGTTGCATTGGGAGGTGATCGTTAAGCGGGGGTCCACTGTATATATATATATATATATATATATATATATATATATATATATATATATATATATATATATATATATATATATATATATATATATATAGTGGACCCCTGCCGTTCGGCGGCCACAACTTTCATGAAATCCGACTTTCGGCAAGTTTTTTCGGCAAAATTTAGCTTCGTGGCTCATGATTGGACTCGTGATTCGGCGACCTTCTGGTACGCGTCTGCTCATCAGAGCGCACACAAAGCCAGTCTCCCGCACTATTCACACTCAGTGTGCCATTGTTTACCAGCATGTGACCATCACCCCATGGGTTCATACAACACATTTCATAATAATTCATTGTTTTTGTGCTTGCACAAAAACATGTCTTTGTATGTCTATCAGTCTATCTGTTTGCCTGTCTGTCTGTACATCTATCTATCTGTCTATCTGCCTAGTTCTGCTTATCTGTCTGTCCAGTTCAGCCTATCTGTCTTCCGTGTGTGCCTGGAGTGTAATATGAGCTCCTTGAATAATTGTGTTATGACAGCATCAGATAACAGTGACATTTGATGAATGTGTGCTGCTGGAGGGGGAACCATGCCTTTATATGTTTTTACTCTTGCACACAAACATGTATCTGTATGTCTGTCTGTCAGTCTGTACATCTATCTGTCTGTCTATCTATACATCTATCTGTCTGTCTATCTATACATCTATCTGTCTGTCTATCTGTACATCTATCTGTCTGCCTGCCTAGCTCTGTTTATCTGTCTGTCTAGTTCTGCTTATCTGTCTTTCTGTCTGCCTGTGTCTGTCTTTCCATCTGCTTCACTCTCTCAGGGAGCGGCTAGTAAACCTGTTGGTTTGTGGTGTATGTGCTGCTCCCTGATTGCTGAGCAAGTGGCACTGCTATTATTTGTGTTATGTTTATTTATGTCTTATATCTACAAACACTGTATAGCACTTGGCCTGGAATTTTTGGGTTATCCTAGGTAATTTACATTATGTATAGTAACTGTATTTGAGTACATGTGAGACAGAGATACAAATAGACAGTGATACAGACAGAGTTATAGAAAGACAGTGATACAGACAGAGATATAGAAAGACAGACAGAGATATAGACAGATGCAGACAGAGACAGCCAAAGCCAGCCAGCTAGCCAGCCGAATACATAAAAAAGAAGGAACACTGCAGCAGGTCTACTGGCCCATGCAAAGCAGGTCCATGTCACCCTCTGGTTTAGACAAATGACCCACCTAGTCAGGTCACATCCACTGAAAGAAGGAGCATAACATCTGACCTAGTAGCACAAGCAAGTCAGGTCCAACTCACACCCACCCACACCCACTCATGCATTTATCTAATCTATTTTTACTGTCCTCTTAAAATGTGAGTGTTAATATGACATGACATCAGTGAATCCTTGGTGTTTGCCACGATATTTGCTCTAGCTGGTGCTCAGTTGAATTGGTGCTCCCACAAGGTACTAAGTGCTCCCAGATTTTTTTCATAGCGCACACACTGAGTGCACAGACCCATTCTTTCATGTCTAGGCGACTCAAGCCTATCGCACCAAATTTGAAGGAATGAAAAACAAAACACTGATCTACGTTCGGAGCCTGCCGCACGTGAACGTATATCTACATGTGGACAGTTTAAATGTTAACTAATAAATAAGTAAGTTTATTCAGGTATACACAAATACAGTTACGTACATAGATTATCATACATAGCCCAGCCCAGCCCAGCCCAGGCCGGCCGGCCAGCCAGCCAGCCGCTCCCTCAAAAATTTTTTTTGTTTGGTAAGTAAAAATGCTATTTTATATGTTTATTTAAATGTTTATTTATCTAATACTAATTGTACTATGTATGTTTGTTGTGTGCATGTAAAACTATAATGTAATCTCTATAAAATGTATATTTTTGTGAATATTTTTGGGTTTCTGGAACGGATTAATTGTATTTCAATTATTTCTTATGGGAAATATTGGTTCGACTTTCAAACATTTCGACTTTAGAACTTGTTCCTGGAACGAATTAAGTTCGAAACTCGAGGGTCCAGTGTACTTGAAAATCATCTCATCTTCCAAACTTAACTAAACCAACACTATACTATGCTGGTAATCATTCAACATATAATGAGAACCACTCCTTCAAAGTAAAAAGGGAAAAACAACATGACAACCACTAAATCAATCTAAAATATTAAGACACAAAATTGTACTTTTGTAATATTGTAAATTGTACTAATTATAATACTTTTATTTGTTTCTTGCAACCTCTCTACTATAAACCTTAATAATAAATTTTTGGCTACCTCTTGTTTATAATAATGTAAAATAATGAATGATTAAAATCTACTACTGCATAATTAATTTCTAGTTTTAAGTAGTGTGTAAACATTAGTATCAGTCTGCTAGAAATACTGTGCTAAGTTAATGGCTGTCTTTACCCTTAACAATATTTCATTACATGTACAGTGGAACCTCAAAAATCGAACTTAATCCATTCCAGGAGCTAGTTCTAATTTCGAAAAGTCTGAAATTCGAATCAATATTTCCCATAAGAAATAATGGAAATACAATTAATCCGTTCCAGAAACCCAAAAATATTCACACAAAAAACACATTTTATAGAGATTAATTACAGTTTTACATACATATAAAATAACATACATATAAAATAATACATACATATAATATAAAATATAAAATAACATTTTTACTTACCTTTATTGAAGATTGGTGATGGCATCTGGAAGATACGGAGGAGGATAGAGGGAGTTGGAGTTAGTGTTTGGAAGGAGAATCCCCCTCCATGAGGACTTCAGGTAAAGCCCTCTCTGGGGTTACTTCCCTTCTCTGTCTTTTAATGCCACTAGGACCAGCTTGAGAGTCACTGGACCCCTGTCTCACAAAATAACTGTCCACAGTCCTCTGTTTCTGGTGCCTCTTTAACATTTCCCTAAAATGGGACATGGTTCTGTCCCTGAACTTGTTGCAAAGATGGCTTGTTTCAGCTTGCTCAGGGTGGTACTTCTGCACAAGCATTTGGACATCATTCCACTTGGCACAAATCTCCTTAATCTTTGAAGAAGGCACCTCATCCACTCCCTCCCTCCCTCAACAAGTCTCACACCACTCTCATACTTCTGTATTATTTCCTTCTTCACATCTATGGTGTTTCTCACTTTCTTTACCACAGGGGTACCACTAGCAAGTTTCTTTGGACCCATGACAGCTTATTTCACAGTCCCACAAGCACTAAACACAACAAAATAATCATAAAATGTGTGAATGAGAGCGCAGGTTAGTGTTCACTCAAGCATAAACAAAGCAAGACTGCTCACAGCGCCTGCGTGGGGACACGGACAGAGCGGGCCAGCGGACAGGTCCCGTACCCGGCGGTCCAAAATTTGAAATGCGTTAGATTTTTGGTACACAGTTTGTCCGAAAAAATGGTCTTATTTTCGAAACGTTCAATATTTGGTACGTTCGATTTTCAAGGTTCCACTGTACATCACACACTGTATATTATGCAACGAAATAAAATTTGAATTTGAACTGATATTGAGAAAAAGCCAAAAGAAAACATAAAACCACCCTAGAAAACACCTCAGAGTTGCTATTTTAAACCAAACACAAGGTCAGAGATTTACTTTCCCCATCATGCACTGCATGGGGCAGGAAGTTTTTACACAGTGTACACATACCCACAGACATATTCTCTTATGTGTTGGACAAAACTTACCACTCACAGCATGTCTGAGGGCGCTGAGTATAAAACATAATTGTAAGTGACACTGACATCAATAATGTAGATCTATGTGCGAAGAGAATAGTAATAATGCATGTTCAGCACTAAATCCATGTGGGTTATTCAGTGCTAAACGTGGCAGAGGCTTGATCCTCTGTCTGCTGAGTGCCAGACAGACATGCTTCCTCTTTGTACTCACTACTGATTTTTATTTTAACCTTTTCACTGGCTCCCACATAGATGGGAGACAAAGAAAGGGTTAAAATAAATAGTTGAAGATTGAGACACTTATGCAACATATGGGAATCTTTATTCAAGAAATGTTTTGCCACACAGTGGCTTCCTCAGTCCAATACAAAGCAGAAAGGTGTAAGGAGAGGAGGAGTTTGAGGCAATCAGTCCCTCAGCCTGGAGTCGATGTGTTCATTTCATCAATCTTGTAGAATGTACAGCATAGGGCCGTAGATGTGGCTTATATATTGTAGTCAGGTGAGGCGAAGCAGGAGGAGGTGGGGTCATAGTGGAACCATCCACTAGTCTAAGTAGGTCTTAGTCCAAAGGTTGGACAAGTCTTGAAGAATTTTTTGTATCAAGATCCCATAATGCTTCAGGACAGATGGACTGAACACATCGACTCCAGGCTGAGGGACTGATTACCTCAAACTCCTCCTCTCCTTACACCTTTCTGCTTTGTATTGGACTGATGAAGCCACTGTGTGGCGAAATGTTTCCTCAATAAAGATTCCCATATGTCGCATAAGTGTCTCAATCTTCAACTTGTCTTTTTTTAATCCATTTATCACAAAATAAATAGTGTAGGAAAACAGAATAAGGGAAGGAAGAGTGGATCACTGGGAGTCTATAATCCCACATGAATGACTTTCTTACAGGATTATAGTTTACCTTCTTTTAAGAAGGTATTTCTTGAGTGTGTGTTGTGGTACCTTTCAATACTTTCATAATAAAAGGTAAAAACAAAAAGGTGTCTTACTTATTCAGGAGAAGTGTACGCCCAATATCCATTGTATTGGCTCCTTCACTGACAATGATACAGTCAGAAGGTAAGAGCTGCTGTAGGTAGTGGAAGACTGTGTAGTAATTCAGTGGTACTGAAGTGTCTTGGGCCATCTTCTGTACAATTTAAAAATTAAACAGGTTCACATGTGTGGCAGTAAAATAATTTATACAAGCCTGATATTAACCCCTTGACTGTCGCAACCCCCAATCCTGAGGTTTCTCCTTGTGTCGCAAAATTTAAAAAAAAAAAAAAGAAAAAAAAAATCTTATGAAATGATAGAGAATCATTTCCTGATTGTAATAACACCAAAAAAACGAAATTTGATGGAAAACTGATGGAATTACGCTCTCGTGATATTTACAAATCGGCGATTCCACCTACTTTGAGCCCTATTTTCGGCTGATTCCATTGTTACAGTCGACCAAACTCAAAGCTATTTCTTTAGAACTCCATTTTTTTTCTATCAACTGAGTACAAGAAACTGCCCATTTACCGATTTCAACTACCCAATAACGTGGTCAGAAATTTGCAATTTGGCCAATTTCACGAAAATTAAAAAATATGACAATTTCAAAATAAGGTCCAGAATGAACAATGCAGACATTCCTGGCTCTAAAATAACATTTTCTTTGTTCATCAGTCATGTCTCCAGGCCCCTCTGATATTACTCTGGCATTCTATTTTGAATTTTTATTCAAACAAAAAATAGAAGATTTACTGTTATGCCGACTACTGCAATACTGTAATAATTGTACAAATATTGTCAACCCATTCATGACTGCATATCAAAATGGCTATTTGGACAATGACATCATTTGTTTACTTTTGAACATTGGCAAAAATCAAACATTTCCCTTACTTTGAGCTCTATTTCCAGGTTCTTTTTATAAAATTAGAAGATCTAAGGAAAGCACCCCTGCAAAACCCAAACATGCCCCCCGCTGCCGACAATCACTAACCCAAGCTCCGAAAAAAACCCTTTCCTCCATTGTTACACAGTATCTACTTCAGGATCTATGAAAGGATATCGAGAAGAAACAACCCGTAATAATAGAAAACACAAGGGACCCTAGAACTCAACTTGCTCCCCCAGCAGGACGCCGGTGTATCTCAACCCCCCTAAAACCGCCGCCACCCCAGGGAAAAACAAAAAACAGGGCTGACCCCCCCCTCCAACCCCCACCCCTTCAAAGGATTCACCCATGATAACTCAGGTATATTATTCTGACAATAAAAGGACACATCGTTCCTAAAAAAATGAAATCAAAAAAATATCAAAGCAACACTCGAGCGACGAGAACCCAAGAAAACCAACCTCGAAACAAGACCAAAACCTCGAAGAAAGTTTACATCGGGAAGTGTTGACACAGAAAATATCTAAAAGCACTATAGCCATCCACTGAGAAAAATAACAAAAAATAAATTTTGAAGGTCGAAGAAGCAATCAAGGACGGGAATCAGAACAGCACACTCAACAAAATGAATACCTTGTTTTCCCAAACGAAAAAACAAAACAAGATAATTGTCTGATGCAGTTAAAAAAACATCCACACATTCCTAGTACAAAACCCAAAAGCACAGGCAAGGAAATGCCATCAGGTAATACAAAACCACTTTTACAACATCGTGAAAAAACAAGAAATCAAAGAAACAGTTTGCTGGGAAAAACCCGGGAAAGAAAAAACACAGTTAATATCCAAATTTCATTAAAACATAAAAGAAAGGACCAAATTTAAATCAGCAATTCAATGAAAAAGGGAAGGTACATAAATGAGTGTCTAACAAAAAAAAACGAAAAACCCTTTCTTTTTTCGGGCTGAGAAAGTTAAACAGGAAAACAAAATACATCATGTTTCACGCGAAAAGGGAAAATATAGAAAGGGAAAACACAACAGGACAACAATTACCATCCAAACGAACAGATTTCTCCCCCTTCCTTAAAAAAGCTGACTTTCTGAAAAAATTTAAAAAGTGCCTTAATACATATATACGTGTGGGCTATATGTACTTATATTATCGTGCTTATTTTTTTTATTTTTTTCATCACTAGCTAATGCCAACTACCTCCAATACTATACTTTTTTCTTACTGCTATTAAGCTCATAATTTTAAAATTTACAAGTCAAATCTTACTCCAAATTAAAAATATTCATTACTCTTACCTGCCCTTTTTATTTTGTTTTCACTCTTGTTTTTTAGTCACTTTTCATTGTGTATGGAAATTTAGTATTTTCCAATTACTTTTTTGCAAGTACCAAAACAATTTTTTGCTAGTTCCCACTACCTCATTTTTTTTTATTTTTATTGTGCAATAAACTAAAACAATTTATTTTATTAAAAATCGATCTTATTTCCAAAAACCAATATTTTTCATATACCATCTGCCCCATTTAACTTTGTTTACCATTACTAATTTTAGCCCCTTATATATTTTCTTTTTATTTTATTTTTATATAACTACCCTAGTTTATATATTACAATTGTTAAAATAATAAAGGGTGCTATTCTCAGGTGCTAAAGTAGAATAAGTTCAAATTTTTTCCCTTTATATTCCAAAGCTCTTTTTTGTTCCCAAACTTTATTGTTAAACCACAACTTAAAATTTTGCCCTTTTTAATTTATTTTTACTATAATTCTAACTTTAAAAAAAATTCCTTTTAGTACTACCTACATCATTTCCCCAAAAGCTCCATTATTTGATCACATTTATTTGATTAGTCCCTTTTAATTTTTCCCCCCCTTATTTTATTTAAAAAAAAAAAAAAAAAAAACATTAGTCATTTTTTTTACATTTGTTAAATAATTCAGGTGCATTTTTTTGCTTAGACTATTTACTTTTTTTATATTAATTCAAACTATAATTCACTACAAATTTTATGATTACAAGCATGTCCTGATACCAACTCTTATTTAATGACTTTAAATAAAACAAACAGTTACTGTTTTACTACACGCAGAACAATCAAAGCACTTCTCGTGCCAAAAAAACATAACATCTTTAACTAAAATATCAAAAATTTTAAGAAAGCTTAATACCTCTTTTGCATTACTAAATTCCTTACATGCCAATATTCCATCATACGCTAACTGAAACCGGCTAAAGCCTAAATAGTACAGATGTCTATTCTTTCCGGTTACACCCATACACAACTTAGGCCAGACCAAAAAGGGGGGGGCACACCCATATAACCAACCATAGAATGACCCCCAAACCACAAATCTTTTAATGCAAACAAACCAAACCACAAAAACCCCACATGATAAACATCACAGAGTTCCACAGTCAAGCTTTACCCCAATTTAGTCAAAAACCTGAAGTTAAACTGAGCACCATGAACAAAGATCACTTACTCTCTCGGGTGATTCAATAAAAATCCCTGCAAGCCCGGGACCCACACTTACTGAATTCACAACACATGAGTAACTGATTTTTGCTACCAAGGGTAAAAACCCAAGATTAAGAGACAGTTTTCCCCCTTGCCCACATCTGGACCAACACCATACCCCTTTAAGACAGGCATAATTACAGATAAACCACAAACCACACCCTATTTTCCCCTTTAAACAATCTAGGTAAACTCCCCAAAAGCACTACTAAAGTCACCTTCAGATTTCACAATGAGGCACCCACTAATAACTTCACAACAGCATAGCAAAAAATGACGGGCAAAAATGACTAAAATCAATACAGATATTGACAATTATAAAAATTTTTTAAAAAAAACCCAATACCTCTATAATAAGCACGCCCAAAAAAAAAACAAACAGATGACACTAAGGCTGAACGCCCTGGCTAACACCCAGCATTCCAAATCCATAAATACAAACACCAATATAAAAAAGTCAGAAATGGTCACAAACCAAGACCCACAAAAAACGTTACTCGAAACCAACCAGCCTGATAAGAAGGGAAAAAAAATTGTATTAGGGAAAAGATTTCCAACTTACAGGTGTTTAAAAAAAAGATTTGGAAAAAAACCCTATCAGAAATTCGGGGAACAAAAAGATATCAAAAAAATAGCGAAATAAAATTTTAAAGCAAAATCGATGAACCCCCCCCCCCACCAAAGAAACGCAAACAGACTAAATGATTTCTTCTCCAATTGGACAAAACCTTTTCCCAAAAAAAACCCCCAAGCTCAGATACCCCCCAAATGACTACCTACCGGAACCACCCGAACCACTGTTCCTGCCCCCGCTAACCCAAACAAGTCTCCCCTTATTATCCGCACAAAAAAACAAGGCGGGAATTTAAACCTTCCCACCCTTTCTAAAAAAAAAGTGTACAAGTGCTATCCCCAAATCATTGCAACACTCTTTAACAAATCCATTGAACCTCCACCTTCCCCTCAGTCCCAAAATAGAAAGGGGCACCCCGATCCCAAAAGGGGGAGACCAACAAGTTGAATAAAAATATAGCCTTATCCAAATTAACCCCCCTCAAAAATCTTCGAAAAAATTAAATTTAAAACGAAAACTCTTCCCATTATCTCCCCAAAAATACCAACCCCCCAATTTGGATTTAGGGCCCAAAAAAAAACTAAATGTTTATACCATGTAAACAATATCACTGCAAAGAAAAAAAGAAGCCCCCTGGGGACTTTATTTACTTTTCGAAAAACTTTTGATACATTGACCCTGACTTGCTCCACGAAAATTTTTCACCTATGGGATAAGAGGGCATCCCTCAACTACCTCAAGTATACCTCAGCAACAGAACCAAAATGTGTAAAAACAAATGGGGGAAAAACCCTTTTGCAACAAAATTACAGTTTGGGGCCCACAAGGAAGTGTCCTGGGCCCCTTCTCTTTCTTATACATAAATACCTACCAAAACTTCACAATTACTCAAAAACCCCAAAATTTGCAGATACCCTACATAACCCCTTTCCCCACCCAGCCCTTCACGCAGCCAATACTGTAAATACCGAATTACAGAAAATACTACCTGGATGAGGACTAACAAACTTACCTAAACATTGACAAAACCCACTTCATTCAGTTCGTAACGAGCACAGATGTCCCCTTAACATAAGAAAACGGGTCACCTAACAAAACTAACAAGGGGAAAATTTTAGGAATCCACCTTGATAATAGACTAAATTTCATACAC